ATTTATTTATTTATTAAATTTTTTTTTTCCGAGTTAAACGTGTTGATTAGTACTCGATTTTTGAAATTATATATGTGTGTGTGTGTGTATATTCTTATATAATTTTACATATATTCACATATTTTACATTAATGAGTCATTCGTAACAAGTAAAATATGAAGAATTATATGAAATGTATTTTTTGATTTTTTAAAACTTTGCATATTCTTAAATGATTTTCTCTGTATCTTAGTATTTTTTCCATCATAGTTTAGGTTTTTGAATGTTTAGTCTGCCATTATGCCATGGGTATATAGGAAGACAATTCGTTGAAGATTCATTTGTCTACGTTGGAACATATTTTCTCTAATACAACTTAATTATATCCTTATTCTATTAATCATAATTAATTACTTAAAAGCTCTTACAATTTTTCATCTAATAATTATTTAGATGGATTTAAAATCTGTCACCTATTAAAACTAATTGGAATAAAGGAGAGTTCATCATAGAAGCTAAGTAGTAGATGTGTCTCATATCGGATTCCAATAAAAATAATAATATATATAAATGAATATGCAGCGCTGTCCAGCAATTTGAACGTTTCAATGAGTGATAGCGTCTTTAATTAGAAAAAATATTAGTTTTTATCATCAACATAATTTATCATCAATTGAAAAGATGAACTTCATTCTCGACACGAGTCGCTTGCATAGTGATGCAAGTTTCATCTCAACTACTAAAATAAAAAGAAAAAGAAAGAAAAAATTAATTAAGCTGATCATTTTTTTCTCCTCTTAATGGCATGTCATTAAAAACAAAATAAATAAATAAATAGTCAATGAGAACAATCTGATGATTTATCTGTCTACGACTCCTTCTACACTACTTTCTTTTTCTAAATCTACACTGACGTTATTTGACTAGTCTCAATTGTCTCCTGCAGCAAATAAAGGGTTGGATTGTATAGTCTATAAGTTTGTTTAAAAATTCGTTTCAATATATATTATGCATAGCGAGGTGATATTTCCGATTCACTTTTTTCATTTGCATTTTATTTATATATTTTTCTAAAACTAGCATGATAAAAAGTCTCTAAACTTATTAATACACTATCTTTTATTTTTAAAAATCATAACTACCCTTATATTATCAACTTTAGATTTTTTTTTTTTTTTTTTTCTTTAGATAATTTATTCAACGAGCTAATCTTATTTTATTTTATTCAATCCCAATAGATAATTTTTCCAACAAAGATAACTAAATTATTATTATTATTATTATTATTATTATTATTATTATTTTGGCGTATTATAATTTAGTCTTTCAACATAGAGAATTTATTTTTTAGTCCTCGCAAAAAGAGAGAATTAATTCAATAGATATAACTCTTTCTTTTTTAGCCCTATCAAAATATATAATTTATTTAAGAGAGATTTTTTTTTTTTTTTTTTTGGTTCTAGTCAAATTAGATTATTATTATTATTATTTTGGCCCCCCAGGGGGGCAGGGAGGGGGGGGGGGGGGGGGGGGTTGGGGGGTTTAAAAAAAAAAATTGCAGTTTCTCAGGTTTGCTTACAAGACAGCCATATACAACTTAGGCAACTTTTGGACAATGACACCCCTAAGGGCCTGTTTGTTATGTGTTTTACTTTGGTGTTTTTGTTGCAGGGCTTCATTTTAGGCCCAAAAACATTTTTGGTGACACTTATTTTGTTTTAAACAGTACAAAAATATTGTTTTAAACAGTGCTGAATTTGGGTCCAAAAGTGAAGCACCAAAATGGTGTTTTTTGTTGTTTCAGTACTGTAGCCCAATAAAAAACACTGTAGCGGATGAAGTAAGTTGATCCAATACTGTAGCGGATGAAGTAGCCTTAAAACGGATTTGCAACATTTTGGCCCGATGTTTTCTCTCTCCTCGGAAACCCTAGAGAAGCGATTTGGGAAACGACAAAAAGGAATCGCGATATACTGTGAGTACTGTCTTCTATTTCCCTTTCTTTGTTGTTTCCTTTGATGTTGTTTCTAAATCTGCAAGCACGAAGTCCAAATCTGTAAAGAAAATCTATACGTATACTCTCATATAGTCACAAAGACGAATTTCTTTCGACTCTCTCTCTCTTTCTCTCTCTGGTATAAAAATTTCGAATCGGTCTCGCAATCACCGATTTTCGTGCCGGACATCAAATCAGTGATGCTCGACAGCCGATTGTCGAAGCTCTGGAAGATCATGATCATGTCCTCCGCAGCATCTTTCGATGTGTTGAGACTCTTCACTATCTGCTGAGCAGTGGCCATAACCCTATCTTGACCTTCTACAGTCGCCGCCATAACCAAGCTTTGTGTATATAGATGTATATATGTGTGTATTTATGGATTTTGTGTATAAATTAGGGTTTAGGGGAGGAAGGGGAAAGGACGGACTGACCTTTTGATGTGGTTGAAAAGTTCAAACGCTTGGGGTTTTCTCCATTGCTTCGGTGCGTGTAGCTGAATCTCAGTTTCTCTCTCCTCTTTTTGTTTTTTTTTTTTTTCTCTCTTTCTCTCTATCTAGAAGTAGTGAACTGTTTGGCCGACGGCTTGTGAGCGTTTACCCAAAAAGTGAGTAACGTAATTTATGGCTTGGGTTATGTATGAACAACCAATTAGGTTTTTTTTGTTGGTATGTCAATGTAAGAAAAAGGTTGGATTATATTGATTACCAAACAAGAGTTGAAGGAAGGAATAGGGAAAGGAAATGAGGTAACGTCTCGGTTTGAAATCGAGAATTCTTAAAATACTCAATTTTACGTAATGAAATGGATTAATTCTAAAAATACATCAATACTGAATTGGTAAAAATATATTTTTAACGATTTTTCATTAAAACATGTACCAGAAGTAATGACTTATTCTTTATTTTGTGATGATGTTACTAAAAAAAAAAAAAAAATGTTTAGTAATCACATGTTTTACTAAATTAATGAACAAGATTATATATTTAAGTGTGTAATAAATTAAAATTCATACCATATATAACATATGAGAATTAAAAATAAAAAATAAATTAAAAAGTAATAATCTAATACAAGTCCAATATACCAAGACAATTACAATACATGTAAGTAAATATGCAAACAGATAATATTTTTAAATTAATGAACAAGATTATATATTTAAGTGTGTAATAAATAAAAATTCATATCACATATAATATATGAGAATTAGAAATTTAAAAGAAAAAAATCTAACACAAGTCCAAAATACCAAGACATTATATGCGAACAGATAATATTTTTAAATAAATAAAATAATTGTGCAAAAAGCTTATAAAAAGATGATGTGGTATGGTGGTCAAAGCTCTAATTAACCCTTTAAATACTTCTAAAGTGAAAGCTTTAATTCTTGCATGTATAGCGGTGACAGCCGATAATTGATATGAGAGTGTTCACACCATCCCTAGTTTGGACTTGTGGATTGTTTGGTTACTGTCAATGTCTTCTTTTAACTTGCACCTACCAAAGAAGAATGATGGGATGGAAAAAGGAAAGGAAATGGGGAAGAATGGAACAATTTCTCATTTGTTTGGAACCGGATAATTGAAGGTTAAGAAAAGTACAAGGGGGTTGAGTGTTTTTCCATCATTTGGTAGGGGGAATAATGATTAAAGAATGGAATTTTAAGTTAACAATTCAATTTACTTAAGTGAGACACCGAATTTTATCATATAATATTATCATAATATCATGTGATGAGACTTATCGTAAAATAATTAAGACAGTCGTTCAAGACCCCAATAGAAGATGAAGTTAGTATCTCATTATATTATATATATATATATATATATATATATATATATATATATATATATATAAATTCAATATAAAAGAATCTTGTATTGACTGCAAATATATTTATTTGGTAATTAATATAATGTATGAAAGCATAATTATTTCACAAATATATATATATATATATATATTAATAAATTATTTATACTTTTGTGTATTAAATTAATTACTAGATAAATACAACTACTCTCGTATCCGTCCCATACAATTTTTTTTTTTAATTACCTTAGTTTTAACTCTCAATGTTTATTGACTCTCTTTCACTAAATTTTCAATTAAATCACTATGTATAAAGTTTTAAAAAAATAAAAATAAAAACATAAAAAGTAGCTTTGGTGTTTTTGTTGTTTCTAACTGTAGCCCAATAAAAAGAACTGTAGCGCTTGAAGTAAGTTGGGTCTTGCACTGTAGCGGAGGAAGTAGCTTTAAAACGCGTTTGCAATATTTTGGCCCGATCTTTTCTCTCTCCTCTGAAACCCTAGAGAAGGCGATTTGGGAGGCGACTGCGATATACTGTGAGTACTCTCTCTCTTCTATTTCTCTCCTGTTTAAAGTTTCCTTTGATGTTGCTTTACTTCCGAAAAACCTCTTTCTTCTTGCTGCGTGAATCCCCCCATATTTTAGTCGATTTGATTGTGACGCCCTTAATGCTTTTCTGAATTTATTTGTGTTCTTGAGGTATTCCATTTCAAAAATTATTTTATGAAAATTTGGTGATTTAGAGCAGTTAAAATTTTTAACTTGTTTAAACTCTTCTACTCCTATATCAGATTTTTAAGAAATACATCTTTCTAAGGACCAAAACGCACCTATACTTGTAGTACCCTGAAAGGTATAGGACTGAAGGATTCTAAATTTTTAACTGTTTATGAACAAGTGGCAATCTTTTTGCTCACTTTATCTCATAATCAAAGGAATCGTGTTGTAGCAGAGAGATTTCAACACTCCACTGAAACCATTTTTAGACACTTCCATGCTGTGTTGCATGCAGTATGTCAGTTGGGCACCCATATCATTACCCCTCCTAATTTTTCTGTGATTCCGAATAAGATTAGAGAGTCTTCTAGGTTTTACCCTTACTTCAGGCATTGTGTGGGAGCTATAGATGGAACCCACATTCCTGCAACTCTGCCAGCAAGTACACAACTTCCATTTCGTGGTAGAAAGGGTTATACCACACAAAATGTAATGGCTGTATGTGACTTTGACATGAGGTTCACATATGTGCTAGCTGGGTGGGAAAGCTCAGCTAATGATTCGAGAATCCTAAATGAGTGTACTGAAAATGAGGCAATGAACTTTCCAGCTCCACCAGCAGGTAATATTTTTTTATAAATTCACTTAATATATAGTTAGTTTATCATACTGTATATATCTTTATGTATTCTAAACATGGCAGGTAAGTATTATTTGGTGGACTCAGGGTATGCCAATAAGCCTGGTTATTTGGCCCCATTTCGAGGTCATACTTACCACTTTCAGGAATACCGTAGGACTAGACAACCTCGTAGTCGGGAGGAAGTGTTCAATCATAGGCATTCATCTTTGAGAAATATAATTGAGCAATGCTTTGGGTTATTGAAGATGAGATTCGCTATTTTGAGGGCAATGCCTCCTTATAAGTTTTCAACACAAGTATTGATTGTAATGGCTTGTTGCACATTACATAATTTTATCAAAAATCAGCATCAGCCTGATGACATATTTGATGGTAATGATCCTCCTCAAAGTGATGGTGAAGATGATGAGATTGTTGAGCATGTGCCTTCGGCTCAGCTTTGAGAAATGGATCAATTGCGTAATACTATTGCTGATCAGATTTGGAATTTTCTTCAGCACTCTTGATCCTTCTGAAGGTGATGGTATATTTTTTCTTTTATATGTAATATATTTGTTGCTATTGTGAGCTTGCAATATATATATGTAATATAAATATTTTTTGCAGATATATAATTCAACTTAAATGCTATTATTGCAGATATGAAGTGTGTTGATGCCCTCTTGAAGGCCACATGTGCTGTTATGAAGATGATGTGTCGTTGCCATTATTATCCACTTTATGAACTTCTTATTAATTTTTAGTGACAACTACGTATTGCTAATGCTTTGTTCTAAACATTTTATGTACAACTTAAATGTGTTTAATTTGTTGGTTGAATATTTCAGGACTTGTAAATGTTATACACTCTATTTCAATTATGCTTTCAATTGAGTTTGTTTTTATTTTAATGTTGTGTTGGACTATACAGGTATCAGGATAATAAAATTGAAACAGGTTATTGCAAAGAACTTGTAAATAGGTTATTGCAAATTTTTTTTACAAATGTTGACTCTCATGTAGTATAATAAAATGTGACTAGAGATTATTTATTTTTAATATTGAGTTAGACTATACAGGTATAATGATAATAAAATTGAAGCAGGTTATTGCAAAGAACTTGTAAATAGATTATTGCAAATTTTTTTACAAATGTTGACTCTCATGTAGTATAGTAAAATGTGACTAAAGATTATTTATTTTTAATATTGAATTGGACTATACAGGTATAATGATAATAAATTTGAAGTAGGTTATTAGAAATAACTTGTAAATAGGTTATTACAAAAATTAATATATATATAATTTGGTGGGGGTTTACATTTTTTTACAAAAGAGAAGGCAAGAATCTGTATTTTGGAGTTAAATTCCCACCAGTGCAGACTTACAAGAGTCGAAAATTATTATCAAAGCTGTGTAGTATTTTTTTTTCTTCTTTCGCTAATGCGAAAAATGAGCAAAATGAATGAAATACAAACCTATGGACAATCATCACCAAAGGAACAAACTATACCAAAAAATTTCAAATAACTTGAAGTGTAGCTTCAGATCAAGATAACATGCAAAATGGTTGAAATTATTGGTTCAATTATTAGAACTAACATTCTACATTTTCGCTAAAGCAGTTGCTTCTGTAATTACACTTTGGTTATATATATATATATATATATATATATATATATATATATATTGTGTGTTCAAATTTCAATAAATTTATTAAAAATATATAGACTATTTATATAGAAATAAATTTATAAATAAATTTAAAATTTATAAAAATAAATTAGAAACAATGATAACCAAACATATTTTTTATTTCTGTTTTATTTTGTTTACAATAGTTGGAGTTACCAAACATGTTTTGTTTTTAAAATTCTTGAAACGCATGACTTACCAAACGTGTTTTGCATATTTTTGTTTCCGACATTTCTACAGCAAAACATCGTTCCCAAACGTGCTTCCGATTTTTGCCAAAACACTCTAATAGTAAAAACGCTATTTCTGTTTTAGCCAAAAACAAAACGCCTAAAGTAAAACGCATGCCAAACGGGCCCTAAGTTTGCAAACTTGAACAATGACCAAATTACCCTCATCCAATATACTAAACCACCACAACCTCAATAACCAGTTAACCACCACTCACCACCACCCAACCTCTCCACCCACAATACCACCCAACCTCCCCACCCACAATCTTCTTCCTCGTTCCACCACCATCAAAACCCAACACACACACACACACACAATATTGCCCAACTCCCAATCATCACATCGAAGCCAAAGGGGATGTTAGAAAGAAAGCTGTGACTAATGATACACGTCGACATCCGCCTCCATCGCCAGTGGAATCTGCTTCGACCCACTCAAACTCTTTAGTGCCGAGATTCTCAGATAAAAAGTCGATGAATAGTCAGTTTTTTGGCCGTGTAGGAACATTATCTCCGGCTCTGAATCATCACGGCGAAGCCAAAGGGCATATTGGAAAGGATGCTATGACCAAGGGAGGAACTAGTAATGGGTTAACCTGGGCTATAGCCCAGGTCCAATTGAAAAAAAAAAAATTAGTACTATTGTTCCTATAAGTCTATATACTACTATTCCTCTTCCTATCAGCCCAGCCCAATCCATAATATTTCTATAAATAAGAAGAATTATAAAATTTACGAAGGTCAAGCCTTAAATATGAGTAAGCCCACAAACCATGGACATGTCCGATCATAAAATAAACCATAATAAAATATAATAGGGCCCAGCCTAGTAAATCAAACACATTGTTAGTCTATGAAAGAAGACTTAAACTCTTTGTGTGTAAGGTACTAAGCCATGGGTGGATGAATATCATGAATTATTATTGTTAATCTAGTGAAATATTGAATTTTATTTTTGCAAAAAAAAAAAAAAAAAGGAGGGTGGGGGGCTTTGTTGATGACTTGATAATTTCTTGTTAAATTGGGTAATTTATTATATAATTGATTAATAACTAGTCAGGGGCGGAGCGCATAGGTCTTACTTTCTAATGTGAATTTATTGATAAGAAATATATATATCTTACATTCTTTTAGTTGTTTATTTTAATACTTGTATGAAGCAAACTTCAATGGATTCTTAACTGTGAAAATAAAGTGTAAATGTGTTAGAATGTTGTAGATTATTGGGTTTAATTGAATAACTGATGCATGATAATTATGTATTTAAAGTATGGATGATACACTAAGCAATCATGGGTCTAGTTATTTTTAGCCCTCCCGACTTTGGAATCCTGGCTCCGCCCTTGACTATGACCAAAGATACACGCCGACATGGGCCTTCGTCGCCGTGTCAGAACACTATCTACGGCTCCCAATCATCACGGCGGTCTCTACCATTGATCCTTCCGAGCACAGCCATTGAACCCGACAGAGTCTAACTCGAACCTTTGCCACCACCGATCCAACTCGGACTAGTCAGCGCCCGTCATTGCCACTGTCAGTCAGCCGCGGCCATCACCTCCATTTCGAAGTCAACCGAGCCAACTATCGCCGATTCCATCCAGCCAATCTATCCACCGGCGTTCAGTGCTATCACCCCGTCGCCCACAGTCGAGGCCGTCTTCATCATGACCAAGCCCTCACCAGCCGCCGTGAGTCATTCACGGCCGAGCCATCCACAGTCAAGCTCTGCATAGCCGAGGCCGAGTTCATCCTTACAGAACTCACCGCCAACCGATCCTCACCGGATCCATCACAGCCGCTGTTCTCGGCCGTCGCTTCATCCCGCTAAGAATCGAGATTGGGGGTTTGAGAGATACTGTGTGTGTGAAATAGAAAGAGAATTGGGTTTGATTTACGGATTGGGGGTTTGAGGGTGTGGAAGAAGAGAAGGGAGATGGAGCAGTTTGTAAGAGAAAGAGAAAGAGATGAGATGAGATGAGAGATGTTAAAAGAGAGATATGAGATGAGAGGGTAGTTTGGTTATTTTAGGTTAGGATTAAAATATATCTTAGGGCATATTAAACATTTCATATCACTTAAGGCTGTGTTTGGCTCCGTTTTTTTTTTTTATTTAAATGGGGTGTCATTGTTTAAGTTTGCAAACTTGGGTTGTCATTGTCCAAAAGTTGCCTAAGTTGTATATGGTTGTCTTTTAAGCAAACCTGAGGGGTATCATTGTAATTTATCCAAACATTAAAGATTGAAGAGAGAAGGAGAGACCAACCATATATTAAAGGGATAATTATATAATTTGAAAAATAATAACTAATTTCCCTTTTAAATTGGAGTATAAACATAGAAAAGCGAAGTGCATTATCGCATCCCCTATTAGAACGTTCCGATAAGAAGTAAGGAAGCTTAATTACGGTAATGTTGATTAAGCTTAATTAGTCAGACTAACCATCCCCCACTAACCCAAAAATCAAGACCTCTTTGCCATTTGAAGAAGCACCATCCCGTCCTTCCCCATAACCTTTGAGTGCATACTACTGCGTTACATTGACAATGAAAAAAGACTTCCTTTCTATGCCAATAAGTATATGATAAAAAAATAATAATAATTCTCACATATTTACTTGGGGGCATACTTCGAGGCCCATACCAAAAGAGGCCAATGGGCCTATTAGGCACCCAAACCAATTTATCAGTCCACGTCAATCATCAAGGTAACTACCAACCAACCATCTAGAAACAAAAAAAATCATCTTCAGTTACTCTCTCACTGGATAGTCCAATGAGTATCTAACGGTGGTAATTAATGCCACATTATCGTCAGGCCAACAAGTTAAGAAATTTATTCATCTATACTTTGTGTTATATTTTATACGTATAATAGTATACAATTTAAGGAAAGAAATCGTTCATCTCTCGAAAAAAAATCGTCTTTGTTGTTTTGTGATTCTCTCTATCTGGTCTGTTCTTCTTCCGAAATAAGTCTGATTTTGTTTCTTTGAAGAGAGAGTTCATTAATCACAAAGCATTATCTTATGCAATGCGTTATGGATTCTCTCTATCTGGTCTGTTCTTCTTCCGGAATAAGTCAGATTTTGTTTATTTGAAGAGAGAGTTCATTAATCACAAAAGCATTATCTTATGCAATGCATTATGGATTTGCTTTATATTTGGTTTGGTTTTACTTCTTTCATACTTAATTTTGATGAGAGAAAGTTTTCATTTCATTTGGATAGAAAGTTGACTTTTAGAAGGAAGGGTTATGGATTTGCTTTATGTTTGGTTTGGTTTTGCTTTTTTCTACTTAATTTTAATGAGAGAGAGTTTTCATTTCATTTGGATGGAAAGTTGACTTTTAGAGGGAAGGGTTTTGTTCTTTCTTTCTGGACTCATAAAATAAAAGTTAAATTCATTAAATAATGCAATATGTATATGTGTATTATATACGAAAGTTGTATATATAAATTGGAAGTTTAGTAAATATTACTCAACTGCCAACTCAGTTTTTTTACCTTGGTCCAATGAGAGAGTAATTGGGGAAG